ATTTGAAGTTAAATGAGGATAAAACCGAGGTTATACATGTAACATCTCGATTCAGAAAGTCCTCCCATTTACCATCTGTCGAAATTGCTAATGTTCCGATACAACCTGTCAAAAGTGCACGTAACCTTGGTGTCATCTTTGAAAACGATCTTAGGATGGATGATTATATAAAAAATATTTGTCGCTCAGCTTCATATGCCTTGTACAAGATAGGTGGTATTAGAAATTTTCTTGATAAAAAATCTACCGAAACGCTTATACATGCATTTATTACATGCCGTCTTGATCAATGCAACAGCCTTCTTTATGGCCTTCCGGAGTCGCACATTGCAAAACTCCAGAGAATCAAAAACTCTGCTGCCAGGCTTGTAACACGCACACGTTCTTGTGAACACATCACCCCAATACTTCGCGAATTGCATTGGTTGCCGGTGACGTACCGCATTATGTACAAAATCTTAGTTTTAACTTATAAATGCATTCATGAATTGGCACCAATTTATCTGCAAGAATTAATCGAGGAATACAAACCCTCACGCAATTTACGGTCATCTTCACAATTAAACCTCGTATCTACTTCTGTGTCAACTCTCTCTTATGGTAATCGCTCCTTTCGCAAAGCTTCTGCTGAACTTTGGAACAAATTACCTTTAAATGTAAAAAACTGTCAAACCGTTAACCTATTCAAAACTAGTCTCAAGACATATTTATTCAAAATTGCGTTCGATGATTAATTATCTCTGTTCACTTTGATGTGTATTCCATATGTATTGTTATTTGTAGGTTTATTTGCATTTTTAGTTTTGTATAAGATGTAATTGTATATCAGTCTATTTTGTGTGTATAGCGCTTAGAGACTTCGGTGGTAAGCGCTTTATAAGTAACGTTTTTATTATTATTATTATTATGTCACCCACATTGGGGTATTGGAGAAGTTTACAATCAGTTTGAATTTGTCAATTAAACACTGTGAAATATACAATACAAATATAATTAATGTTAATCCATACAAAATAACACTATCGACAATAGTGAGAAAAATTATGATGATAATGATAATAACAATATTGATGATGATAATAATAATAATAATCAAAAACAAAACGATAATATTAATTAAAACGATAATTAATGACGAAATTAATGGAAGCAATTGAAAAAGAAATTTACTGGCACCAGTAAATTGATATCTGAATTAATGAATTACTGAAAATATTCTTGATATCAATTTAATAAATTGATATAAGACAAAAAAGAGAAACATAAAGTTAATATTGAACTCATAACATGTTTTAGCACATTCTTAAATTAATTGTGCGCGCACATCATCATTTGCATGGGCGCAATCTTAATTTACGCATAAATACCACTGACCTCGGGTCATTTGCTTTGTTTCAGGGCCAATGACCCGAGGTCAACTGTCTGCGCATGCGCACTGATACAACCGTAAACTGGTGTATTGATTTATTAAGTAAAAGTTCAAAGTCACTGAACTTTCCAGATTGAAATGAAGTATTTTTCTCCTGAAGAATAGCCCATTGATTCGAAGTGTTATATTCATAATAAAAACAAAAAAATATTGTAGTATCTTAAAATGTATGCAATGTTGTAAAGTGGAGTCATAATTTCAATTGCATACAATTGAATTGACTGTGTTTTTGTTGTTACTTTTATCTCATTGATTTTTCAATTAAAAGAATAATTGCAACTTGTGTACCACAGCCATGTAGGCGTTTAAAAAAAAAACTAAATCAAGTTAGACCTATTTGAAGTGAAATTGCGAGTAATAATTTCTCCATAGCAAAAGGTTGCCAAATGCATTGCCAAGTTAGCATTTGTTAAGTGTTTGATCTGTAACCTTTTGGCAAATGATAAACCACACTTTTAATATGTTATTCCATCAAATTGCACATTTTAATCCACCATTCTGCGGATGAGGATGTAACATTTGTTATCTGTAACTTTTTCCAAAATGGTAATTTAACATTTAATAAAAACACACAAAAGCTAAACCTTGGCACAAGGTAAATTAAATGTTTGGAATGTTATTTCAACATATTACAAATTGTATTTCAACATTTTCAAAATGTTACACTTTTTAACAATTTCCAAATGATACATTTAACACTTTCAATCTAACATTTTCTGAAATATTAAATTAACATTTAAAAGGTTGTCACTCCTCCAACCTTTGCTTAACGTTAAATCTAACATTTAAAATGTTGGATTTAACATTTCAAAAAAATATAAAAATAAAAATGAATAAATACATTTAAAAAATTACATTGCAACTATAATTATAGTTGCAATGATAATTTTTTTCTCGTTTTGTTATGCTGTATCTGTAGCATAGCATTGCTTGTTATTTGTGTTCAATGTCATTATATCACTTGTATCCATATTGTATGTTATCGATTTTTGTAACTGTATATTCACTTACAAACAAGAGCAATTTCCAATATGGACGATAAATCTGCATGAAGCCTCGTCACACACACACACACACACACGGGTGTGGCCACTAATTGCAGACGACAGGCCTGTAGGTTTAACATAAAAGCACGCGATGTGGCACTATGGGGCATGGGAACCTGGTTTAGATAGAAGGATGATGCGTTCAAAAAAAGGAGATGAAGGGAATCAAATATTAAAAAAAAGAAAATGAAGGAAAAGCAATCTTGACATAAACAAGGAGGATCAAAGACAAGGGGATAGAGAGAATACAGTCAAACCTGTCTATAACGACCGCCCAAGGGAAGCACAGAATGGTCTTTGTAGACAGGTTCCTTTAGTACATGTCTCGATGAGAAACCATTTTCAAGGGAAACAAGAAATATGGTCCTTTTAGACAGGTGGTCACTAACGCAGGTTTGACTGTATATAGAAATACGTATGATGGAGAGGCCGGGAGCAGGAAGGGAAGCAGAGGGAGAAATAAGATCGGCAAATGCAAAATAATAGCTTGGATACGAAGAATTTATAACGAATTTATTGACGGTATGTGTTTTAACTCTTTTCCGAGCTCTGTTCCATTCTCAGATTGTAATTTTTTCCTATACGGTTATAGTTATTTAGAAAAGTATATCGATTTGATAATGAATCCTTTTTGGAAGGATGTAGTTTCTTTGTGGTGTGTTTTTGGAAGAGGAAATAGATGCTCCAGCAAAAAAGAGTTCGGCTCTGAATTCTTTTGCCACAATAAAGACATTGTAATAAATAAAACCCTTGTTAATTGTAGACAATGGAACTAGAAGGGTGTATATTTGTAAATGACTTAATTGGAGTAGATGATCAGGTTTTAAGCAGACAAAAAAATTACTGAAACTTACAATATTTCTATTGACTACCTAACATATTTAATTATAAAAGGGGAGATTGATGAAAAGTTGGAAAAAATTTCACAACCATCAATGCGTTTATGAAGTTGACCAACCCACTTAGACCATTATATTCTTAGTATTTTGATGAAGCAAAGACAAGGATGTAAAAATATTTACGTTTCAATGGTAAAAGGAAGGGTATCAGCTAATGTAAAAAGGAAAGAAAGATGGAAAGAGAAAGTCGGCAACAAATCTCATTCAAGAAATGGCGATGTTTTAATTCTATACCATACCAAACAATACAAAACGTTTCACTCAGATGGTTCCAATATTGCTTGATTAATTAAATTACTCCAACAAACTCTTATCTGTGTAAAATACAGGTTAAATCAAGCAGCGCATGTACATTCCGTTTATTGCATGCATGAAGAAACCATTGAACACCTATTTTTTTAATGTCACATAGTGAGGAAAGTAAGGGAATATTTCGAAAAGAAATTGTAGGAAAGGTGTAAACTTGTGTTGAAATTAACAGTCGAAATGTTCTTTTTGGGAATCACACCCAATAAACTTAATAAAGCTTTAAATTCACTTCATTTGGTTAAATTGGTATTATCTATAATAATACAAATTGGCTGGAATTCGCCTTTTACCATAAAAAGTTTTAAACGAGCTATAGATTTATTTTGGTTTTGAAAAAACAAACAAAAACAAACAAAAAATCTTTTGTGAAAATATGAAATAAGATTCATTTGAAAGATGTTGGCCAGGTCTTTATGATTAATATGTTTAATCAATGGTATGTTATGCGATGGCAGTGGCTGCACTCATGCCGCGCTCGGCAGGGGAGAGCAGTGGATAGTTACCGAGCCTGAACATCTGGACCGGATCTATTGTTCTTGTTTTTTGGGTGTTTGGAGTGTGATTGGTGGGTAGTCTGCAAGCACAAACCCTGGTCAGTCGTAAAAGTGAGTCTGCACTAAAAGACTACCATAGGCCATGCACTATAGCTGCTTCTGATACAGCCAATAGGTAGCTGGGCTAGGCTTCTCTCAAGGCACAATGATTTTTGGATAAAGTGACAAATTAGGGTCTGTGCTTGCAGACTAGTCGGTGGGTGCTGGCTGGTACTGCATCTTAGGTCATCTTACAATCTGTTATGTGTCTTATTATTACGTGTTCAATGTTGTATCCAGTCAATGTATGCAACAACGTTTTTTTAATGATAGCTAGATTGTCTATAAAGCACATTTTCGTGGAGATTTGTTTAATGCCCCACAGACTTTTGCGCATGAACTTAAGAATAACGGGGTCTTGAAAATGTCTTTAAGTGGGAAAATAACGACTCTGTAAGTTGTCGAATCGACTTAGGAGCTATAGAGCTAATAAGTAATAGTCTTGATTTTCAGACCATTGTACCGAATGGTCGTACATTTTATGCTGCGCAAAGATTCAATCAATCTAATTTTGGTCATTACAAGAAGTGGATTAATGATGTAGACAAATGCTCATGTACCCTTTACAGCTCATTTATGTATGTTATTGCCAAAGAAGACAAAAGCCAGTCAGTCACTCAATAGTGTCTGACAGTAAGGTCTAGCAAGTAAACGGGTTTCCTTGCATATTTTGAATATTAGGACACTGCTGACGTTTAAATTTCACAGAGAGGACATAAATGACATAAGAAGATAGGTACCCCTATATAGGAAGTGTTAATTGGCATTTCCGGTTAATTAGTTAATCCTTCCGGTTAATTAGTTAATCCTTCCGGTGACTTCCGGTAAACAATAGGGGAGTGTTAATGAGTTAATTGGGGTGTCCTTCCGGCGGAAGTTACGTAATGAGGGTACATCCCCTGGAGGAAGTTCTTTTGTTTACATCATTCATTCATTCATGGAGAGGTGGAGGATGGACGTGTGTAGGGTACGAGGGACAAGGACCAAATGACCAAACAATGGGCCACCCGGCATGTATGTTGAATGTGTGTGTTACCGACCAATGAGAATGCGAGGATTTTTTTAGAAAGGAAGTGACCCAAAGTTGGTACTTGTTTGTGATTGGACGAGAGAAAATGGTGAACCTATGGGCAAGTATCATATGACATCTAACTGTCGTTGAGTCAACATCGCTTTGTTTTTGTTGTAATACTGGCCAGATTCTATAATGTACCATGATTTCTACATGTGATTTAATGCACAAGCTTCGGGCATGTACATGCCTGGAAGAAGTATCGAGTTTTCGTGAGGAATATTATGAAGACCTTGAACCAGAACAACATGCTTTGGTATTTGCAAGGTCATCCTACTTTTTGAGTTTGCAGGACTTGGAAGATGGTAAGTGCTAATCATATTTATTTATTTATTTTCATATTCATAATTGAATAATTTTGTAGTGTTACCATATCGGGTTTGCATCTGGAATTCAAGAAGGAGATTAAGCATCGAAAATCCATAATAGGCAACGATGTGACATAATGAGTGTTTTTTTTTGTTCAATGCAAATTAAATAATGATTGATATCTCCATTTGAAACATAAACTCACGTGTAAGCAACAAAAAAAAAAGATTTATAAAGTATTATAAAGTATACGTTCAAATTATAAATTTAATTAAATTATTCAATTATACTTGTAGGGATTACCGATGATGATTTAGTGGATGTGTTCGTCGAGAACCAACAGCCCCCTCTGCCCCTAGCAACGCAGCACCAGCAAGGTCTTCCACATGACGCAGCTACTCCATGGCAACCAAATTTGGATGACGGTTAGTGTATACTTCATTTATATATACATCAATGCAAAGGATCATTGGATGAATGTTCATTTTTTTTTTTTCATGTATGAAGACAACACAATACATTGTAGCGGTTGAATGAAACTTTTTATCCGTTCTTATATATTTTTTATTTTTTTTTTTTTTTTTTTTTTTTTTTTTTTTTTTTTTTTTTTTATCTCATAGGCATTTCCGATGACCATTTAATGGAGATGGACATCAATACAAATAAGCCATGTGACGCAACATCAGTACCTGGCCCCTCTAACCGCCAACCAGCAGCAACAGCAGTGGCTGGACCCTCCCGCCATCCAGCATCAGCAGTGGCCGGACCCTCCCGACAACCACCAGCAGTGGCTGGCCCTTCCCGTCAACCAAGAGCAGTGGCCGGACCCTCCCGACAACCACCATCAGTAGCCGGGCCCTCCCACAGTCAACCAAGAGCAGCAGCAGTAGCCGGACCCTCGTCTTTTCATGTTGGGGGATCTAAGAAACGTGTTGTAGATGCACCGCCTGCAAGAGAACCCAATCTCCCTACTCATCACGTGACCAAAGTGAGTCAAAAACATGTACGCAAATACAATGCTAATGTAACTGATTACACCGTTTCTTTCCAACCCATAGAAAATAACGGTCCCATGATAGAAATGATGCCACGCGTAAATGAGATGTTTGAAAATATCATTGAAGAGATGGTTGAGGGGGTAAATGATAGAGATTTTGTTAGGATTGTTTTCATTTCCCCACAATTAGATAGACCCGTTAGTATGCCATTTGTAAGGAGGGATCAAATGAATCACGAAGCATTTGCAACCAAACTTGAGAATACTATTCAATCGAATGATAAGGTAAGCTTGGACGAAACAGTCTCTTTCAACATATTACACATGGCTATGCCAAATGGTGGTGGTTCCAATGTGAAGTGCTTAACCATCGAAGAGACATTGTCCAGAAAAAGATGCATCATCAGGATGAAGAATAAAGATAACATGTGTTGTCCAAGGGCTATCGTAACTGGCATTGCCCGGATTGAAAAACACCCTAATTTTGAGTCGATCAAACGTGGTTACAAACAGCAAAGGGAATATGCCATTGAGCTGTATAAACAGGCCAAACTTCCAGAAAATACCAAATGTGGCATCGAAGAGATTAAACTCTTCGAAAAGACGGAATTCATGGCCGGTTTCAGGGTGGTGGTTGTTTCAAAAGAGCACTTAAACTTCATTACGTATGCTGGCCCCGAAGACAGGCAGCATACCATTTATCTGTATGTTCATGACAATCACTTTGATCTCATTACATCAATGGCCGCCTTCTACAACAAGTCATATTTTTGCCACGAGTGTTTGGTAGGATACGACAAGAAACTCAGACACGACTGCATTTTCCGCTGCAAACTTTGCAAGGGAGATGACTGCCCCGCCTCCAATGACCCCGATTCCTACAAATGCATTAGCACCTGACTTGATGTACAAAGAGCATTAGCGCCTTTACACCTTCTTATTTTGTTTTCTTTAAACAAAAAAACTTTTTTTATCATTACGTTTTTTCTTTTTTCTTTTAAAAGTTTCATAATATTATTATTTTTTTTTATTTTTTTATTTTTTTTTGGTAGATCATTTTGCACGAACCGATCATTTTTTTGTCCACTTTGAAGACTTGATTCTTTAAAGATGTCATTTCTTTTTCTTTAAAAAAGGTGTATAACATTTTCTTTATTAGATAATTTTGCACGAACCGATCTTTTTTGTTTCCACTTTGAAGACTTGATGCAAACAAAAAAGTGTTTACGCCTGTACGCTTTTTTTTCTTAATTTATATTAACATTTTTTTTTGTGTGTGTGTGTGTGTTAACTTTCTGTCAAGATGATATTTCTTTATCTTTAAAAAAGTTTTATAACTTTTTTCTTTACTGATAAGTTTGCACGAACCGATCTTTTTTTCCACTTTAAAGACTTGATGCAAAAAAGTCTTAACGCCTGTACGCTTTTTTAATTTGTTTTAACATTTGTTTTTTTGTTTTTTGTTTAAATTTCTGTCAAGGTGTTATTTCTTTATCTTTAAAAAAGTTTTAAAACTTTTTCTTTAAAAGATAATTTTGCACGAACCGATCTTTTTTTTTTTTCCACTTTGAAGACTTCATGCAAAAAGATGTTAACGCCTGTACGCTTTTTTAATTTGTTTTAACATTTCATTTTTTTTGTGGTTGGTCATTTTGCACGAACGGATCATTTTTTTTTCCACTTTGATTCTCTCAAGACATTATTTCTTTTTCTTTTAAATAAGTTTTATACTTTTTTTTTTTTTTTTAAAGATCATTGTTGCACGAACCAATCTTTTTTTTTCCTTCCACTTTGAAGATTAGATAGAAAAAAAAAGTGTTAACGCCTGTACGCTTTTTTACAAATTTGTTTTAAATTGTTTTGATTTAACTTTCTGTCAAGACGTTATTTCTTTTTTCTTTATAAGATTATTTTGCAAAACTCGATCATTCCCCCCCCCCCCCCACCCCTTTGAAGACTTGATGTACAAAAAAGCATCAACGTCTGTACACTTTCTTTATTCTTATTTTTATTTTTTTTAAACTTTCTGTCATTACGTTATTCTTTTCTTTAACATTTTGTATAATTTGTTGGATCATTTTGTACGAATCGATATGTTTAACCCTATTTAAAGACTTGATGCAAAAAAGTATTAATACCTGTACATTTTCTTACTTTATTTAATTTTTTTTTACTTTACGTCAAGGGCGTTATTCCTTGTTTCTATACAGACTCGACATGAATTTTTCTCTCGTAATAATGTACAAGTTCCGACAAGATTGAGAACAACTTTTATATGGTTGCATGTTTAAGAAACGATTTGTATATATATATTTTTTTTTTGTCAATTTTTTTTTTAATGCACTGGACGGCCCTTTCAATATCGAATAATGATCTTCCAAGGGGGCCCTGTCTTTATAGTTCAAATGCATTTATAATGAAAAAAACATATTATATAAATTATAATACAATAGAAACAAGAATAAAGTACAAAAACATTCAAAACTAAGATTTAGAACAATGACACAGCATAACTCCCCAAAAAAGGTTTACAAAATATGACAATACTGTCATACAATATCAATATAAATATGAATCAAAAGACAGAAATCGTTTCTCAGAGGGCATTCACAATACTTATCTGTTCATATTACATCTTCAATGATAATAAAGATAATTTACTTGTACGTAAATCAGGCGATAGGGTACTCCACATGAGTGAACCTTAGTAGTGAAGGGATCTTGTAAAACAATCAGTTGTAGGTCTTGTGATTAAGAGTAGGGAATGTTCCGCATGTCTCGTATAAATGAACACTGGTACAAAATTCTCGGAATAATAATTGTTTTCAGCTCCAAAGGTATACATTTTGTTGTGTGTGGATTATATGCATATTATAGACAAAATGTGGTACTCCATTCTCCGACAAACCGATTGCCAAGAATTTTCAGATAACATAAAAAAAACATGAGGTGTAGAAATCTGCGTTAAATACAAGTCTTGCATAGTTGGGGTTTGAAATGTTTGAACTCTTGTTATGTTACATATTGCACCCGGCACCTCGCCACAGTATTTTCACAGTAGTTAATGTACGATTTACAAAAGAAAAGAGAAGAATATTATTATAGGTCATTAATAAAACACGTTTGGGACAAGAGATATCGATTGTGTCTGATAAAACCAATAGTTATTGGCAATGCAGTACATGATCTATAAATGCGACATTTCCAAAGTAGGGAAGACTTAATGATCAATACAAGTCCTGATTTATATTCGTGTTTCACTTGTTCGAGAAATGATGATATTACTGCTTCAAAGGCTGTAAAATCAGATCAATGCAGATTGTTACTAATATTCGATATTCTAGCAAGTAGTAACTGTTTGCTTCGGCAGTTTAGATGACAAGGGGGGTGGGGGTATCAATGATGATGATTATTACAAGTGGAATCTCGAAGGATAATAACATTTGAAGTAGATTGTAAAGGGTTTTTTTTCTCCTTTAAATTGGAGTTCTGCTTTAGAATAGAAGTCAGTTGAAGAACTAGGTGTTCGATAAACAATAGCAATTAAACGAAATTGTGGATATTTAAATCTTCCTTCAAACCTTAACATTTCAAGGTTCTCATGTTTTAAATCATGTTTGCAGTTGTAAATCAAATTCTAATTTCTAGTTAATATAACAAGCAACAACACTACCTGATATATTGTTATCTTTTCTTACAAGATTGTAACTACTTAAATCAAGCTCAGAATCAAGGCTTCTTGCAAGTCAAGTTTATCAAAAGGATTGTTAAACAAATGGTTTATGTGGTTAAATTCCCATCTAGTGCTATGTATATGTAAGTGAGCTATTGTAAAAAAAAAAACCTTTCTATCAAAATCCAGATTTCCCGGCGAAACATTTTATTTTAGTTTGTTTAGTTTATCATTATCATAAAACAACAAGAATATCTACAGCATCATGTGAGTTAAAAGGCATATATTCCTTCACCATTAACCATACACTACTATCATCACGATCCGCGACATGAAGGTAGCCATGATTCATTGATAGTGTTGCGTTGATGAAACAAATGATCTAATTGACTGTTGCTTGTGGAATACCGTATTGTGATAATGTCAAAAACGTTGTGATTGGATAAGTATCTCGAGTCAAGTGATACAAATGTATTTATGTTTTTCTCCGTTTTTCAAATAATGCGCGAGTTTTGTGCTTGTACGACTTTCAGGGAACGTTATCAGATATATATTTTTTTTAAACAATATCATGTAAAAAACAACAACATGTAGTTCCTTGAGATGGGTCACGAAAGTAAACAAGTTTCGGCGAGTGGTCACATCTCGCACGTAGACTGCGGTTCGATGAGTCTACGATTCGCGAAAAGTGTCCACTCGCCGAAACTTGTTTACTTTCGTGACCCATCTCAAGGAACTACATGTTGTTGTTTTTTACATGATATTGTTTAAAAAAAATATATATCTGATAACGTTCCCTGAAAGTCGTACAAGCACAAAACTCGCGCATTATTTGAAAAACGGAGAAAAACATAAATACATTTGTATCACTTGACTCGAGATACTTATCCAATCACAACGTTTTTGACATTATCACAATACGGTATTCCACAAGCAACAGTCAATTAGATCATTTGTTTCATCAACGCAACACTATCAATGAATCATGGCTACCTTCATGTCGCGGATCGTGATGATAGTAGTGTATGGTTAATGGTGAAGGAATATATGCCTTTTAACTCACATGATGCTGTAGATATTCTTGTTGTTTTATGATAATGATAAACTAAACAAACTAAAATAAAATGTTTCGCCGGGAAATCTGGATTTTGATAGAAAGGTTTTTTTTTACAATAGCTCACTTACATATACATAGCACTAGATGGGAATTTAACCACATAAACCATTTGTTTAACAATCCTTTTGATAAACTTGACTTGCAAGAAGCCTTGATTCTGAGCTTGATTTAAGTAGTTACAATCTTGTAAGAAAAGATAACAATATATCAGGTAGTGTTGTTGCTTGTTATATTAACTAGAAATTAGAATTTGATTTACAACTGCAAACATGATTTAAAACATGAGAACCTTGAAATGTTAAGGTTTGAAGGAAGATTTAAATATCCACAATTTCGTTTAATTGCTATTGTTTATCGAACACCTAGTTCTTCAACTGACTTCTATTCTAAAGCAGAACTCCAATTTAAAGGAGAAAAAAAACCCTTTACAATCTACTTCAAATGTTATTATCCTTCGAGATTCCACTTGTAATAATCATCATCATTGATACCCCCACCCCCCTTGTCATCTAAACTGCCGAAGCAAACAGTTACTACTTGCTAGAATATCGAATATTAGTAACAATCTGCATTGATCTGATTTTACAGCCTTTGAAGCAGTAATATCATCATTTCTCGAACAAGTGAAACACGAATATAAATCAGGACTTGTATTGATCATTAAGTCTTCCCTACTTTGGAAATGTCGCATTTATAGATCATGTACTGCATTGCCAATAACTATTGGTTTTATCAGACACAATCGATATCTCTTGTCCCAAACGTGTTTTATTAATGACCTATAATAATATTCTTCTCTTTTCTTTTGTAAATCGTACATTAACTACTGTGAAAATACTGTGGCGAGGTGCCGGGTGCAATATGTAACATAACAAGAGTTCAAACATTTCAAACCCCAACTATGCAAGACTTGTATTTAACGCAGATTTCTACACCTCATGTTTTTTTTATGTTATCTGAAAATTCTTGGCAATCGGTTTGTCGGAGAATGGAGTACCACATTTTGTCTATAATATGCATATAATCCACACACAACAAAATGTATACCTTTGGAGCTGAAAACAATTATTATTCCGAGAATTTTGTACCAGTGTTCATTTATACGAGACATGCGGAACATTCCCTACTCTTAATCACAAGACCTACAACTGATTGTTTTACAAGATC